CTTTTTTGTTGTTATATACCTGGATGACTGAGAAAACAAACTTTGTGTTTACTGTAATTGTTATCACATTTAATAAAACAAAAAGAGTTGTTTGAAATCTTTACTGATATTCTGTTTTAAAAACTGCATCTCCAAAAAACACCCTTTGTTATAAAATAATTAAATTGTTTCTAAATGGCCATGAACCATGAAAATGACATACTTTTTATCCCTTAATTTGGATGCAATTTGCGGGTACTGTATACATTGTTAATTATTTTATTATTTATTTGATTTGTCTGTCAAAGAATAAACATTTTGTTAAAAAAAATCAACCAGGCAACATTATAGATATTAACTTTCTTAGCATATAGCTGAACTGATGTTTGCAGAATCTGAAAAAATTGGGCTACCTTTGTTTTTGATTTATATTTAGTTCCTTAAAACTAGACTCACTGACACCAACAAAGTTTGTGTCAAAGAATGGATTCTAAAATTTTAATTTTAACAAATGCAAAGACAAAAGATGTAAACCGTCTTATCTATGCTGAGTTTTCAGTGAGCAGGATGTCATGTTGAAACAGTGACTTAGTCACTAAACAAAGAATGTAAGAATTATTTCAGTGAATACTTTACATTTAAAGTCAGAAACTTTACACTTAAGTGATTAACATTTGAAAATCTGCCAACCGGTCCCGTTTTGTTCACACTTTATGCTTGCATTTTCTTTAACTCACAAACCCAGTTCATATGATGTTGCAGCTGTAGTGTGGCAGTATTTAAGCTCAGCTGCTAGAGACAAAGTACTACAGGCCTGGTATTTTAAATTTTTTATCTAAACCTTTATTTTTACCAGGAAAGGAAACAAGAAATTTTACCAGGTGTGTCAGACAAACCACTATTATCACTTACCAGTCGAATAATTTTGGATCAAAGATGTGTTAACTCTGTTTGTGAACGTATACTTGCCTTTAAGACACTTATACACTAATAGAATAAAATAGAACAGAACAATAAAATAGAATAGAACAGAATAGAATAGAAACAGCCTTTATTGACCCACAGGGGGGAAATTCAAGTGTAGCAGCAGCAACGGCAGCAACAGATATGAAGGTACACACAAAAATATCCTAAAATTAAAAAAAATATATATATATATATAAAGATATAAGATAAACAATAATAATATACTGTATAAGACTATAATAAAAATACTGTGCAGTTTTTAAAAATAGGCATGTCAAGATGCACATAACGTTGGATATGCATTGAACAATGAGAAGGACAGACTATTTACAGTACAGTGTTATAGGCAGAGTGGGTGATTGAGCAGAGGTCAGCATGTATTTAATACTTGTTGAGTTTGTTGGGAGCAGTGATGGTTATAGAGGTTATATAATAACATGATTATAGATTAATGAGTTTTTTTAAATAAGCAAAACAAAACAGAGAACATAAAATATATGGCTAAGTCTTGACTCACACGATTCCTTAAACGTGGAACTTGGTGCTGCTACGTTCAGACTCAGGGCGCCCTTAAAAAATAAATAGTCTGACCTCAATGGAACTCACCTGATTAAACAAAGATTAACAGCAAACAGCTGAAAGGTGGTCAGAACAACTGCAGCTGTGGTTGTGGATGCAAAAACTCAGGCATGGAAGACATTTGAAAAGGCTATGGTATGAAGAAGGACTTTTGGTCGACCTTGAGGAGGAGGTTCTGGCAAATCATTCAGTGACTCAGAAAGAGATCGCAGGCCCTGTCCCAGGCTGCGATTGATCTTAGTGGGGAACTTCTGACCAGGGCTGGGATACTGATGATTGGTGAATGGAGCACTTCAAGGATCTCCTTAATCTGTTCACCGTGCACCTGTTTTGGAGGAAGAGTCTGAAGATTCAGACAAAAACAAGTTCATTGCTCTCACAGAAGTCACAGAGAAAAGTTAAAAAGCACCAGGGGGGGGGGCACCAATTCAATTCAGTTTATGTATATAGCACCAAATCAATCACCCCTCAGGTTCCAACATGACAATGAATGGACCCATGTTGCAAGTATCTGTACACAACTCCTGGAAGCTGAAAACATCCCAGTTCTTGCATGGTCAGCATACTCACCGGACATGTCATGTTTGGTATGCCATAGTTCCTGACAATATTCAGCAGCTTCACACAGCCATTGAAGAGGAGTGGACCAACAGGCCACCATCAACAACCTGATCAACTCTGTGAAGGAGTCATATTGCACTGCATGAGGAAAAGATGGCCACATCAGATACTGGTTTAGAGATAAGACCTTGGTCATCCAGGGGAGCTTGGAGAAGATCCACTCCTGGGAAAGGTTTAGGATAAACTATAAGATGTTGCTGGTGAGAGACGTGTCAGGATTTTTCTTCTGGACCTGTTGCCTTTACAACCTGACTATGAATTAGCACTGGATGGATCAATTGATTAATTTCAGTGCAAAATATGAATTATGACATTTATTTACTTTTGCTACAATCCACACAACAAAATGTAGGAATTGATGATTTCTTTCACCAAGTGTGTTTCTCCCTACTATAAAATTTATAGTTTTTTTTTTAAATCCTCCCACTGTGCAGAGTGCACACATCCAGACCCTCATAAATTCCCTTTGTGTCTAAGCTCAGAATTTTTGTTTGGCTAATTTGGAAGTGGCGGGCCTCTGTAACTTGTCATAACTCTAACATAAAACTATGCAGACGCACAAACGGTGTGCAACATGTGCAGTTTGTTGGGTTTGTGGAAGGACTGGACCCAGAATGCAGGCGAGCGCTCAAGAAGTTCAAAAATAAAACTTTTCTTTAATAGAAAACAAAAAGCTGGCGAGGCAGCAAACAAAACTCAGAAGATCACGGGTATGCACAAAGAGAGGGAAAAATGTACACATGATATGAAGCCAATAACACACTGCTGAGTGGTAATGGCAGGAGAATATATATATTTTTTCCAACCTTAATATATATAGGTTAGTCTCATTGAGTAATGAGGACTCATTTTCAAGAGAGACCATGTGGGCTAGCATGATGAGGTATTGAAGACAGCTGAACTGATTACAGATTGGGAACAGGTGAGAGTGGCAGGTTGACTGAGGAGGAGTGAGAGATGGCACAGGGGAGAAACAAGACTGGTCAGCTGAAATACAGATTGATTGGGATCTAAACTTAGGGAAACTCAGGTCACAGAAAAGCACAAGGAATTGATATATACAATTAAACTGCAAAAGACAGACTAACAGACTAAAAAAAATCCTAGATCATGACACAATTCAATAAACTTTTAAATACAACTTAAAGTTTGAGAGCTCGTTTGAGGTTTTTTCTAGTCTGTGTTTCTGTCCACCTTTGGTGTTATTATTGCTGTCGGCATAGGCGTCACATCAATTATATGTGAAGGGGATGTGTTCCCCTCACATTTAAAAAATATTCATTTGGACCCCCCACATTTACCATGAAATATTAGTTCACCCAGTGCTGTTTCTATTTGTTTGTGAATGACTCCAGTCCACTTGATTAATAGGATAATACTCAAACCACTGAAAGTCCACTCTGGGTTTTTCTGGTTACCTATAACAACTCACCACATTGTTTCTCTTCAGTCACTTGTCTTGGCAGGGTGCTTATTCCTTTTTTTTTTTTTTTTTTGTCAACGGGCGGTGGAGGAGTGGGAGACCCCCCAGTGTTGAGCACTACGTGAGTTCTCGACTGGGGTGGGGTTGGGGGTAGGATGTGTTAGAGAAGGGGAGCATGCTCTATTCAGACAAGGGGAGCTGTTGGTCAGGCTACTTCTTGTTGTGCTATGCTAAACAGTAACTGAACCAAGTGTTTACTTATGTAGGTAAACATAGATGTTTAACAACCTGTTAAAACACACCAGAATGCAGGAAATGGCATCTACTTTTTTTCAAGATTTTCTGAGGAGGAAGCCCCTGACCCCACGCCCCTCCCTCCACTAGTGTCCCCCCACTCATTACAAATGCTTCTGATGCCAGTGGCTGTCAGGCAGTGATAGGCACAGATGTGTGGTTACCATGGTGACCTTATGAGTCATCGGCAGCAGCTTTTATACATTTTTTTCTTGGTTCTTTTTACTTTCATATACAGTTCAAACATCAAAATGACGGGTTGTGTCTGCTTAGATTATTACAAAAGAAAGCATCAGTTACAAGTGGGTTGTAAGAAAGTTAATGACTGCTGGAGTTTGGGGCTGCCATGACACCTTCCACAATTTCTACCAACATTTTCAGATTTACTGTAGTTTTGTCATTTGGCTTTTAGGGGCAGCTGCAGTTCAGTGTTGGTCCACAATGTGGAAGTGTTCTGCTTTGTTCACCAGGCTCTGCTGCAGAAAGTAATCCCCTCTTAAAGAAACACTGGTTTACATCCATTTTTAAATATAGGAACCTACCACTGCCTTACTGACCTAAATATAACTATAGTAAACTATATATTTATTTTACAGTTCACGAAAATAACACGCATTGTCCTTCATTATCCTTCAGGTCTTTCTTGTAAATGAGTCCCTGAGACTCAATGGGATTAACCTGTATAAATAAATGTTGAATGAATTATTGTTTGAATGTTTATAGAATAAAGTATGTTGAGTTGATAAAATAGGAGACATAATTCATGTTAAATATCATCTTCCTGTTTGTTCCCACTCTCTTGTAGTTTAATCACAGGAAAAGTGTGTTTTATGTGTGCATGACATGTCAGCATGACTTCATCATGAATTTGGTTTTATCAACAGTTTATTTTTTTTATTTTTTTTTTTAGATTATTCGATTTACTCAAGTGCAAACGTCACGCACATTTATAGCTGTGAAAAGATGAAACGGAGATGGATTCTGTGCACAACATTCCTTTATGAGTATAGACTTTGCTTTCTCTCCTTGGAAATCACCAAAAATGTGTGTGCGTGTGTGCGTGCGTGTGTGTGTTTAGGGGGGGCAGGACAGTTAAACAGGGTCTGATAAATTGTGCTGTTTATTTGCAGGTGCAGAGCGCGACTTGTGGCGCGGTTTGTTTTTTTTCCGCGCCAGCTACAGTTCTGTGGCGCGCGCCTCGTGAAGAGTCACAGTTTCTGGGCCTCAGTGGAGGAGATGGAGATGAACGACAAAACAGGAGAAGCTGCTCTTAAGGTAACACCTCATTGTGTCTAGAGTTGAACAGAAAGAGAGGAAACGGCGCCAGAAACCGAATGTGCACCGAACCCTTCCTGGGGCTTCAAAGTTATGGAGGTGCGTCTCTTGGGCATTATGGGCCATTTTATTTGACATGTTTTCACATCTTGACCTCCCACACACATTTCGGGAGAGCCTGGTTCGCCTGCGCGTTCGTGATCGCTCCATTTTTTTCCCCCTCCTCCTCCTTGGATGCTCCCCCCCCCCCCCCCCCCCCCCCCCACCGCACTTGTTGCGCATTGAAAAGATGCGCAGCTACAGATCCTGGAGAGTAGGCAGACTGCAACAGGTGCACGCAGAGCATCTTCTCCAGCAAGGCGTAGGAGGTGGAGAGCTTTTACGCATCGTTCGTCTTTTGCGCAGGACTATTTTGGATATTTTAGTCATACATATTCATGTTTGGTGATTTTTTTTTTAAAACGTCTTCTATTTTGTTTCACCTTTTTCTTCCATTTGAGGCTAACTTTGAACTTTAAATGCCAGTTTGAAGAGCCTTTTGAGGCTCCAGCGCGCGCGTAAAATCAGGATGCCGGTCTTAAGTAGCCCAGATATTGCCAACAAGTTTAAAGAGAACTGGCTTGCGGTGTTCCCGGAAGACCAGGCTTCTGGTTTAGAATCCACCCCCCTGGACGACAGCCTCACCAGCCTCCACTGGCTCCAGAACTTCTCCATCCTCAGCGCAGACCCAGAGCGACCCAGCAGCATCTGCGCCGGACCCGGCTGTCCGTCCTCCCAGCAGCAGCTCTTTCTCAGACGCCTCGGCTTCCCCAGAGCGGGCACCGACTCCCCGTCCAGCCCGCCGGCCGGGGACACGGCGTCCACCGGGATGCTCCTGCACCCGGGCAGCCCCGTCACCTCCGGCAGCGACTCCAGCACCTCCGCGGCCTCGCGCTTCACCACCCGCGCCCATCCCGTATCCGGCTACTCTCACATCCCGGTCCAGGCGAGCCCCCCCGCGGAGGTGGACTACAAAACGAACCCCAAAGTCAAGCCGCCGTACTCCTACGCCTCTCTCATTTGCATGGCCATGCAGGCCAGCAAGCAGCCCAAAGTGACTCTGTCCACCATCTACAACTGGATCACAGAGAACTTCAGCTACTACAGACACGCGGAGCCCAGCTGGCAGGTAACCGAGACCATTCCCCCCGTCCCTTAATAATTCATGAGACTGGCAATGCTGAGGTGCAGAAAGGAAGGCAGGGCAGTTGACTCCAGTGTCACCATCAGGCAGAGTTTCATCACACTAAGAAGTGCTGGGTTCAAAACAACCTGCACTGGGTCCAATTTGACCCCAGGCTAGTTTTAACCCAGCAGGTTATCAGTTTCACCCATCATATATGTGTTTAGTATGTTAAATGAGTTATCTCTTTAATTAGAGCTACCACTCATAATAATGTCCACCCAGCATTTTGCTGTTTGTTTTGAAGACAGTGTTTTGATCTGTTAGCTTGTAGCTATACCCCTTTCAGATTTAACAGCTCCGTTTCGGCTGCTTCTGCAAATTGTAGCAATCATTCACTGCATTTTCCTTGTAAATGCAATTCCTCTTTCATTTATTGGACGTCCGTGGCACTGAGCTGTTCTGGACCATTTTAACGAAGGGCATTTACATGAGGCATAAAGAAACTGGAGGATGTAATATTTGATCCTGAATGTCTTTGGTTTATAGTTTTTATGATTTCAAGGAGGAAAATCAAAATAAATGTGACGTTTGTATGATGCGTGATCATTATTCCATTGGACTTGTGCAGCTCATCACCATGGTGAAAGGCCTATCTGCTAAAGCTTGGAGAATCCCATTAAATGTATTTTATGTTAGAAAAACTTTGCTTACTATCATATTAAAGTAGTAAAGATTTTGGTGCCACTTTACAACAAGACTCCCCTTAGATGTCTAATAAATAATTTATAGATACATTATTAATTCCTCTATAAACACTTTACAAATCTAATAGTTTATTATGCATTAATTAAGCGTGACAAGAGACAAAACTGAGCAGTTTGTTGCCAAATAATGAGCCAAATCTGTTCACCTATATATTTAATCTAGAGTTGTTATATTAAACATTTCAGACTAACTTACTATACCTTGTGAGAACAATAAGCATTTGTAAACCTAATTTTTTAGGATATATTAGTTGTAGATACTTATAATGCAGTGAGAAAGTACAATATTATATCCTAAAGAAATAGGTTTACAAATGCTTATTGTTCTTACAAGGTAATAACTTAGTCTAAAATGTTTAATATAACAACTCTAGATTAAATATATAGGTGAACAGATTTGGCTCATTATTTGGCAGAAACTGGTCAGTTTTGTCTCTGTCACCCTTAATTAATGCATAATAAGCAGTTATTAATGATTTATAAAGTGTTTATAGAGGAATTAATAACATATCTATAAGCTATTTATTAGCCATAAGGGAAGCCTTATTGTAAAGTGATACCAAGGTTTGCTGTCAAATTGTCCATTTCAATACACAAAACACAGCTTGGACCATTTTTGTTTCAAAAACCAGTTGCCCAAAGTATCAGTCTATGTTCAACATTTGTTCTTACAAAAAAAACCAAGATTCTTTAGCTCCAATTAGTCAAAATCACTATTTCATTTATCATCTTTAAACACACTGGCTCAAAAAAAAAACCCAGAACGAAAGTGATTTCCTCATCAACAATTCCTGTTTAGGGACAGTTGGAAACTCCAGCTTTACATAATGTTACCATAGGAAACCACACAAGTTAGAGTTATTAACAGACTCAACCAGTTTAAATAGTCTCTTACAAGCTGTTTTTACTGCCATACCTTTACGTATTACATCCTAAAGCAGAGGTCCTGTCAGGTCTGATCTGGACCACTTCTGGTTTAAAACAGTGGACTGTGACGAACGACACGCCTCGTCTCCAGCCCAACCACTGGGTCAAACCTTTGGAGCCAACCCAACAAATTGAACCCAGCATTGAGTTGAGCAGTTTTTAGTGTGTAAAACCTGAGGCAAAACAAAGATGGTTTCAAAGCTCCAACTTTTTTATTTCTGCAGGAATTCTAATTTATATCTCTTATAATTCACATAAGGAATTTTAATGTATTTGTAATTTCTTTTACTCTGAGTTCTTATACGGGTTTTAATGTGAGGGGATGATGATGACAGAGAAAGCACTTTGTGTGTGTGTATGTGTGTGTGTGTTAATGAGGGCTCCTAAGAGAGATGGCAGCTAAGCACAGCTGATCATGTTTGAAATGCACAGAGCTGCCTGTTACTAGAAAGCCTCATTAGGTCCATTTGCAGTTTCTATACAAACAACAACAATGCCCAACGCCCACTCTGCCGTCTCCCTGACAAATTGGCATTTTTTTGTTCTTGCGTGACTGGCTTCGATTTGCCGTGAGGTCTATGCTAAATTATTCTCTCTCTCTTTTGTTTCTTGTTGTTGACACAGAACTCGATTCGTCACAACCTGTCCCTCAACAAGTGTTTCAAGAAGGTCCCCAGACAGAAAGACGAGCCAGGGAAGGGAGGCTTCTGGCAGATTGATCCGCAGTATGCTGACATGTTCGTCAATGGCATCTTTAAACGAAGGAGGATGTCGGCTAACCACTACAGCAACGGCAGCAGTGCCCCACAGAGACAGAACAAACTGGTTCACAGTTACCACAGCATCCAAGACACCTGTCCTTATCAAGGTGGCAAACAGAAGACCCTGTCTTCTAAAAATACCAGAGCACTCAGAGGCACGGAGTCCCCTCTTCTGGCCATGGAAGCTAATAAAGCAAACGTCCTGAAGGGGGACTTTGACCTGGCGTCCGTGTTTGATGACGTCCTCGGTGGGAACTGTAGCACCTTCGAGGATTTAGATATCAACACGGCGCTGAGCTCCCTGGGCTGTGAGATGGAGGCGCACGGAAGGCAGCACTCTGCAGGGGTGGGCAGGTGGTGTGGCGATGTCGCGGGTCAGAGCCAGCACATCAACCAGCATCAGTCCTACGGCTACCTGGACCTGAGCTCTGCTTCCGCGGAGTGCTCGGTCAACGTGGGAGAGCTCCACATGCTGCAGCATCACCTGCTGCAGAGGCACCAGCAGCCGGACCAAGACCAGCTGCTCCTGGGCCAGCACCAGATGCAGCACTTCGATGAGCCTACACTGTTCCCAGAGCAGCCGGGGGAGGCTGTGCTGCACCCCTGGGACGAGATTAAAGACGAGACCATTCCCCCGACCTTAGATCCGGGGTTTGGTCTGTATGAGGGCTTCTTCACAGACATGCAGCCCTGGGAACGAGTGGAGACGTACATGTAACCCTTTGATCATGACGTGGACATTCGTTGGTTCGTCTTGTATGAAAGGATGACACTGCTGTGATTACTCTGAGTCCCCTCCAATCATTCTGCAATTTTTATACTCTCTCCAACCAGCCGTAACACTACAAACCTGATGCTGAGCACCTGCTGAAACAGCACCAACCAGTCTGGAAAAGGACGAAGAACGCCTGGGGGGTGTCCTGACTGATACTGGGACATTAGCAAAGTGATCGTTTGGTGCTTTGGGTTGTGAGGGCTTTAGATTGGGCTTCACATGTGGAGTCTGAAGGCCTGGTAAACGCCACAGTGTTTGTCGTGTCCTTTAAGCTTGTTTTTTTTCTTGGGGGGCCCACTGCTGTTCTGTTGAGATGGTGTGTGTGTATGTTTGAGGGGTGTGTTTGCTGTTGTCATGTGCGAGGTGTGACTGGTCTGCAAAAATGTGAGTAGGTTACTAATAGAAGTCTCTAAGCAGCGTCGACGCACAGATACAGGCGATCTGTGCAGAATATGAGCTGTTTTAAAAAAAATCATTTTACCTGTAAGTGGTCATAATGTTATGGCCAACGGTTGTTTTTTCTTTTTTTTTTCTCTTTCTTTTATTAATATGGAAACATAATCACTTGTTATCTGATGGCAATCACAGGTAACAGTTCCAAAAAGACGTTGTTCTGACTGATTCTAAAGATTCTTCTTTCTTGTGGCTTATCGACTAAAAAACATTTCAATCAGAGAAAAATGATGATGAAACCAAGAGAAATATGTACAATTATTTTTTTTTATTTAAACAAACAGATAAATAATTACTTTTCTTTGGAGTAAAAATGCAAATAAGGTGGGCTGGCTGATAGAGTCTCTTAAAGGTGGGAAAATTAGGAACAAAACTATGAATGAATGGACTGAACTATGGCCGCTAGTTGTTCTGATGCTTTCTGATCGTCATGGAGACAGAAGAAAATGAGTCAAGCACAACCATCCTTCACCACAATGCTCTCCACGGAAAAGCCCTGAGAAAACATCCTGGTTTCTATTGTGCTACATTAGCATAAACCTCTTTTTTTACTGACATGCAGATAAATCATTCCCATCATTGGAGTGAAAAAATAAAGTAATCAAAGCTAAACAAATGATTAAACTATAGTAAGAGATTAGAAACCAGTCACATATGATGCTGTTTTATAGTCAGTTTAATATATATTCACTAAAGTTTATAGCATGAAGCTTGACGAGATGATTCTGTTTGCTGACAGTCACAGAGCTAAAAGATGAGCCAGCAGAAGTGAAAAGAAGCCGAGTCATGAAATCAAACATTATGCACTTTGATAAACAGCAGTTATAGGAAAGCAGAACAGTTTGTTTTAGTTTTGATAAGGTATTAAAGGTATTTTTTTTTTTTTAATTTACTGACAACAATGAAAATGAAGGTAACTGTCCATAATGCTCTTTTTATTTACAACACTAAACTCCACTCTGCAATAATTCATACTGGAAAGTGCTTAGATAGACAGATTTTAAAGAGAAATATAAAAGTAGGTCTTTATTGATGACAAAGCGCCAAATTTGTTGATATAGAATATGCAGTTTGTTGGTGTTTTATGTGTTGATAATGAGAGAAACTTTCTTTGACAGAGTGATTGATTTTTATGTTTTGTCTTTTAAAAAAATATATCTAAAGCCCAGATTACATGGCTCTGGATTTATTTCCACAGATTTTTTTTCTTTGTATATATGTATATATATATATATATATATATATATATATATATATATATATATATACATTTACAATTTCCTCTCAGTTTTTGATAATTTTAGCACATGGTCAAAGATTAAGGCAACAAAATCAAAATAATACGAGGCAGACGTGGGGGGGAAAGAGGATAAAATCGGCTCCATTGTTGTTTTGGTTTCTAGATTAAGAAGTGACAGTGTGTGAAATTCGCTGCTATGTCACCGTATCTAAAAAGCTCTGAGTATTTTGAATACAGTAGTCCCTCGATACTTTATAGTTCGACATTCGCATACTCTTTCTTTTGCGGGTTTTCAACTAAGATTGTATACAGCACACGGTTGTCAACTTTAATATTACTCACGTGATTGGGACGGTACAGGATAAAAAGTTAACTGGAGCGGCAACCAATAAAACAAAATACTTCGGACACGGACAGGTGTTGCCATTTTGTAGTTTTCTTTCAATAAGCCTATACTGTAACGCAAGTCAAAAGAACTACACGGCCCAGAAGCCAACAGTGCTTCCAGCCGCTGCTTTCTGACAAAATTCAAAGAACAGTGATGAAGGGAGCAAACACTAGTGGAGAAACCGAGGTGGTAAAAATAGTTTTGCAACACCGTCAGAAGTACTGTAAGGACAAGTTCACAGAACTGGCAGGAAAGTTGCAAATAATCCTGAAGGTGAACTCATCCTTCAAGTTGTAGTATCTTCACTGGTGTGTACCCATGTAAAATGTTGCAGTACTTCACAGTATATATATATATATGTATGTTGTTAAAATTACATAGGTTTAACAAGTTTAGAACACTGCAAGAGTGTGGGAAGGATTTATAAAGACTTTAAATATATATGAATAGTAAAATAAATATAGCGTACCTACTTTGCGGTTTTTCACCTATCACGGGGGTGTCTGGAACGTAACCCCCGCCATACTCGAGGGACTACTGTAGACCAAAATAAGAGTGTTGAAAATCTATACTTTTTAAAAATTTCAGTTTGTCTCACAAAAATCATCCAACAGCAAACACCAACTCTGTGTTTGGGTGGAAAGAAGGTACAAAGACATTTTCAGTTTTTAAAAAAATATCCAGAGTACTGTGAGCCGGGCCTGACACGTTTTTCACAAATCTGATCAGAAAGTGGTGATGTGCGTTTGGGGAATGATTATATGTCTTGTCTGGGGCCAGACTTTCTTATTGTATCATAATAATAATCTTGATTCATTCTAATTTTACCACATGTTCATTTGTACTTTTTTAATTGTTTGCAAATGCAATCATGCCTTAATGCAATAAATGGTGTCAATTATTAAAAAAAAAGAGTTGGAACAAAAGTGTTTTACTGACAAATAAAGGATTAAGCAGCAGAACATTGTGGACAGATTTAGTGTTGGTCAAGAGATAAAACAGACAGTTTGAGTTTATCATTAATCGGCACAGACAAGTGTGGACTTGTCTGCTCTTTGAAAGAAACAGTGTTAACAACTGAAAAACACATGAACAGCTTCAGGTGCTCCTTAAAAACACAAGTTGTTGTTGTTGTTTTTTTAATTAAAACTTAAAAAATAGCCAAAATGCATTTTTGATGAGCAGCAGCAATCATTTGTTTTTAGATGATGTGAGCTGGGAACTAAAACTGTCATTATATGAAAATAAAATCAGTTAAACATGTGACACTCCCCTCAGACAGGAAGACCACCCTGCTGCTCTCATGATCTACACGAATGTGGACAGATTGTGGAGAAATTGAATAAATAAGTAAATAAAAATAAAAAACACTTTTAGTGGCGGCACGGTGGCGCAGTTAGTAGAGCTGTTGCTTCTCAGCAAAAAGTTGCCGGATTGAATCCTGGCCCGGGACCTTTCTGGGTGGAGTTTGCATGTTCTCGTCGTGCATGCATGGGTTTCCTCCCACAGACCAAAAACACGTAGTCTGATTGGTTACTCTAAATTGTCCCTAGGTGTGAGCGAGAGAGAGAATGGTTGGTTGTCTCTATGTGTCCCTGTGATGGACTGAGACCTGTCCAGGGTGTCCCCCGCCTCTCACACAGTGATTGCTGTATATGGGCACCAGTGACTCTCGTGACACCAGAAGCAAAAAGCGGGTAAAGATAATGGATGGATGGTGCATTGTAAAACTGTTCTCACATCTACTGAAGTCTTGACATCTTCTGGATGTTGTCCTGAGGGCTGCATGTCCAAAGAAGTCAGACCAGAGACAGATCTTTAATATAAGAATGTCAGATTGAGAGCATGTGAGCAGAACAATTAAGTGTCTGGATTTTCTCACTGAGCCAAAACATCTACTCCTCATACATTTTGACAGAGTGTGGAGTAAGGTGGCTGCTTGAGATGGAGATAGAATGTGTTCAGATGTTCTGTTTCTATTTTAAATCTGTGAATGTACCTGTTCAAGACAACATGTCTGGATCCACCTGCTCATATTTCCCCAAATTCAAATAAAACGTCAGGTAGGTGCTAGAACCCTCAAAAGTTTGCTCCGCATGTCATCTCAACCTTTGCCAGGGCTGCTTGTATGAAAATGTGCTTTTCCACCTCAAATCTCTTTTTAATTGAATTTGTTGGAGAAAAAGCTGCGACAAACGGCTTATCTCCATCCCTCCGGTCCGCAGCTTCCAGCGGCGACAGGTCATGTGTGGAGATCTCCAGGAACGTGTGGAATAATTCAGATTCCTGAAACCAGCAGGAGCTACGGCCAGATTTAAGAGGCTGAGGTGAGGCCGACCACCCAGAAAAACTACTTCAGCTGATGAAGATCTCTGTGCCACCTGCCACTGAAGGCAAAAGCAGAGCAATAGTGATTTTGCCCGTTTCGGTCTGTATTTACCGTTAGCAAATTATTTCATGAAGAATTAGACAAATTTGAATGAAACTTTCAGAAAAGAATCATTGCATGCACCTCTGCAACTTATAAGCTGTAGCCTGATCTAAGATGGCTGCCACAGCTAATCAAACTTAGGAAACACTAAATGGTTGTAACTCAGTCGACTCTTACAGGTATTTATAATTTGATGTGGGAGTAGCTGAGACTATTCCGTAATTTATTTTTTTGAGAACAAACTTAATGTGTAAAACGTGGTAACACTTTGGCACAAAATAATGGATTGTTACCAAAATATGTCATGAACCATCCATCATCTTTTACCCGCTTCTTCCTTCTGGGGTCACGGGGGTCACTGGTGCCCATGTCCAGTAGTCACTGTGTGAGAGGTGGGGACACCATGGACAGGTCTCCAGTCCCTCACAGGG